AGACTGCAGTAAGAATGCAGAAGTAGTCATGGTCACAGTAGTGTTAATGCCTTTAGGAATGTTCTCTACAGCACTGATCCTGAAGATTTCCTTAGGATTGCGTTGTTTGTGTAACACCGGACAATAATAGCCTGAGTCCCCTCACTAGTTTAGTAAAGTTTCCTTGCTATAAAGCAGAGTTTTTCAGCCTCACACATTTGGAGGTATTGTTTGCAAGGGACAAGGGCAGGGAAGGATTGTTGTCCTAGACACTGAAGGCTGTTTTGGCAGTTTTCTTGGCCTTTACCCATTAGAGTATAATAACCTGTTAAGTCAGTTATGACAACCAAGAAGTTCTCTAGAAAGCAGATCTTCCACCATTGAGAATAGTACCACAAAAAAGCCACAGCAAATGGGGGCGAGAAAGCTTGGCAGATTAAGATGCTTACTGCCAACCAGTGGTAGCCTGAGTTGGGTTCTTGAAACCATATGATGCAAGGAAAGAACCAACTCCTCTAAGTTGTACTCGCCAGTTCCAGCTTGTCTCAGAAGCTAGCTTGCCCCAGAGATCTTTTTCTGTCTCCCAGGTGCTGTGATAAAAAGCAGCAGCCCTACTCTCCCAGCTCTTACTTGGGCTCTGGGGATCCAAGCATCAGTCCTCAGGCTTATGTGGCTTTATCCTTTGAGCCACTCCCTCATCAGCTATTGACTTTGAATGTTAATAAATCATTACAAAATAAATTGTTCTCATAATATTAATGTAATTCCAACATTTACATTTTAGAAATTCTATATGGAGCACATGCTGATAATATGTTGGACATAGGACTTAAATAATGGAGACAAAGCCCATAGCCTAGGTAGCTTACAAATGTGGGAATTAGGACTGTTCTTTGTATAAGAACATAAAAATTTTATGAAACACCAGAAATGAAATGAAATTCACAGAAGCTCTAAGTTGAGCTTAAGAGGTTTGGTGTTGATCCAGCTAACCTAGGTACTGCATTAAAAGATTAAATGACCTCTTCAGTATAAAATTAAAATATTCCTGAGAGTGGTTGTAAAGCACTTGGTGGTGATTTCTGAGCCTCAGTGGTTGTTTGCCTTGATTGGTATTCTTAAAGAGCACGGCGGGCTGGGTGAAAAATTGTCTGTCACCCACAAATGTGAAGTAGGTATAAGGCAATTGAAAAAATGTAGAAGTCAGACTCTCTGTATTAGCATAATTGACTGGCTAACCCAGAGCAAGGGGATCTCTACAGCAATGTTCTCTGAATCTTTCTTCATTGGTTCTTAAATTTTTTGCACACTTCACTTTTTTCCTGTTTTGTTAATGCTAATCAGCATAAGATATCTTGATATGTCTTACCAAGATTTATACTTTTTCATGCTAGCTCTCTTTGAATTAAGCTTAGGATTTGTGCATGTGAGGATGACTAATTATTGAGCTTAGAACACAATTTGACTCATTAAGTCTGCTCAGGCTGCTATTACAGAAGGTCACAGGGTGGGTGATATAAGCAAAAGATATTTACTATCTCATCGTTCTAAAGGCTCAAAGATCAAGATCCAAATATTACAAGGGTTGGATTCTGGTGAAGCTTCTTGGCTTCAAGAAACTACTCTATAACGTTGCCTTTCTACTGTATGATGGGGGAAGGAGAGAGTTCTCCAGTGCCTTTTTTCTTCTTGTAAGAATATCAGTCCTAGGGCTGAGGAGATAGCTCAGAGGTTGGGGGTGTGTACTTCTCTTGGAGAACACCTGATTACTGGACAAGTGGAGTAATGAGACAATGAACCTTACTTAGGTAGTTTGGTCCTGGACTTCTTACCTTTTTTTTTTTACCTTTTTTCTTTTTACCTTTTTATTTTTTTACCTTTTTTTTTTAACCTTTTTTTGTTTAAGGTCTTTCAGAAAACATTGAAGGGCATCTTTAGAAAGACTGAAAGAAGTTCAGATTGTGCAGGCTCTCTTGGAGCTTTATCCATCAAGGCACAGTCTTAGAATAGCTTTCTCTACTTTTTAATTTCAATTTTTTAACAATATTCAAGTTAAGAACACTGAGTTGACATCCACAACCAGATTTGTGCTTCCTCTTTCCAGTTCTTCTTGGTGTATTTCAGAAATGCCCGACTCAGCAGCAGGCACACCCTGATTCATGGGAAAACTATGCTTGTCATTCCCACCATTGATTTGGACCACACCACCCATTCAGTCTTCAGCCAGAGCATCAGCAGTTACTTCTGTAGCCATTCAGGTTTTCTTAGAGAGGACAATGCTTGTGTTCATGGTCGTCTTTAATGAGTTTCTCAGGAAAGAGATACTCAGCCTTATCTGACACAGCTGACCCCTTGGAGATGCCACAAAAAAAGTCATGTACACTTAAAAATTACTGTAACTACTGGACCCATTTGTCTTCTCTTTCATTATTAAAAAATAATGGTGAATGAAATATGTACAGATAGCATCATTTTGTGCAGATTCCTTTGGAGTGTTTTTTCTGTGAGTAGGATTGAGCATACTGAACATTTTGATAACTACTGCCAAACTATCTTCCTATAGAGACTACAGATTCACATAGCTATCGACAGGGAGCCAGAGTGTTGATTTACCCTTATCATTGCCAAAGCCATATTACTATTTTAAAATCACTCCCAATCTGACAGTGAAATTTCATTTTATATTTTAGATCTTGAATTTATTTGGAATTTTGATGTTGAGCTTCTTTTCAATTTTTTTTTGTGGCTGCTTGTCATTTTTCTATGAATTGCTTTAATTGGCTCATTTTATTAAAAAATTAAAAATCATTTTAATATTGACTTGTAGATGTTTTCTAAAGTAAATTTTGCATAGGTTTTGGGGATCTAAACTCAAGTATTCTTACTTGCCAAACCATTTCCCCACTCTTGAGTATAAATTTTGGATATGAATCTTTTATCAAATTCTGCACATATAAAATTCCCTCTCCCGCTTCTTCTTTGATTGCACTTATGGCATTATTAAAGTGAGATACTTGATTTTGTAGACATATTAATCATTTATTCATGGTTTCCATATTTTGTCTTCTGTTTATGAGAGGCTTCTGTATAATCTATTCTTTTATGTGCAAGTCTGTTTGGGTCTCTGTTCTTTCTGTCTTTTCCTAACCTTCTATCCATGGTTTGCCACTGATTCCTGTATGTATCAGGTCTTTGATTGCTTCTGCACAGCTGCCCTGCCCTTGCTGTTGTTACTTATGTGGAGAGAGGGGGAAGGGAGAGGGAAAGGGGCGAGGAGACAGAGGGATCAAGAGAGCAAGAGGTCAAGAGCAAGATTATTTTTAAGAATAGAAGCTATATTTAAATTATCTTGCTGGACTTTGCCACTTGATCTTAATGTTAGTAGAGAAGTGCAGGGAATACAACCAGGCTCCTCTCTGCTTTGGGGATTTCTTTTTTGACAGTAGGTAGTAAAATTAAAATGGAAAATGTAGGAAAATAATTTTATTTGCTCTTATTTTCAATTAGCTGGAGCAAGATGCTATTCTAAGCACAGCATCTGTTACCATGGAATTTCCTTAACTCAGGGTCAGCTTCCTTTAAGAGCTGGCCCTGCTTTATGCTTTGAAAAGAAAATGATTCTCAGTGGCCTTGAGCAGCTAGCCTTTGTTATACCTTAATTGCTACATTTACTTGAGAACATAAAGTAGTCATCCGTGTATTTCTGAAGAATCAATACAATGTTCCACATTGTATGCTTAGACTTAAATTAAATGAATAGATTTGATAACCTCTTAAAAAGTTCTTTTATTATACTTATTTATTTAGGAGGGACACACTTTCCAGCTGTAGACAGCTTGGAAGAGTCTGTTCTCTCTCCACTGTTTGTATCAGCCTTTGTGGCCAGTACCTCTGCCCACTGAACCATCTCACTGATCAGATATGACAACTCTTAACTATTAGGCCCTTTTATCTCTCTTTAAATCATTTCTAGTGCTGAATGAGTGTGTATGTGCGTGTGTGTATGTGTTGTGTGTGTATCATGTTTCTTAGGAAAATGCCATTTCATTTATTTTTACACAGGCTGAGTAAAGGTTTCTAGGATTGCACTACCATTCTAGGGGTTTGGGGATGGAAAGAAATCTATTCTTTGTCCATACATCTTAAGTTAAGGCACTCTAGGTCCAAAAATGGAAAGTTTCTATATTTTGGTTAACATCTGGGAAGTCTAGTCAAATGGAAAAAAAAATGGTCTTGGAGGCCCCTGAAGCTCTTTATTCTGCATTTCCAGTAGATTTAATAGTTTGTAGGTTCTAGGACAAATCTCACAAAGTAGATCTAGCCTACAGAAAGGCATATACCATTGGCCCACTTCATGTTTGAAAAATGTCTAGATTTATGATACAGATGTTTATGATCCCAGAAGACAGATCTGACAAGCTATGTCAACACACAAGTGACTAGGTGGCATTTCTAGGAGTCACCCACTGACCTGAAGGTGTCAGCTGTCATTTACCCACTGTACAGGTGACTTGTTTGAGTCATTATGTTACTGGAATGCTTCTGACCAACACTGTGGACCTGTCAGACCACACTACCTTCTCTGTACAGCTAAAATAAACATATGTGAATACCAATGTAACATAAAACGCAAATCTAACTGATTTTTCCAGAAACATCCTGCACTTTCTCTTCTTCATATCTTTGCTGGTTTTTTTTTTCTTCTCTGGAACATTTAATTTTCCTTTCGATTAAGTGAATTCTACTTAGTTCAGCTGCCAGCCCCTGAACCTTCTTGATTAACTGCCTCCAGAAGTTTCTCCCTCTTACGGAGTCTTAGAACATTTCTCTTCTTGACACAGTGACTTTTATTATGGCAGTAGTGTGCCTGCATTAGCCTCTTCCCACTACAGGTACTTACATACAAGGCATCTACTTGTAGTTCTGAAGACTGAGAAAACTAGTCTTATTGTTATCCTACTTTCCCCAGTTGGCCTTCTGCCCTAAATTTGAATGTTTTTCTTTCTTTTTTTTTTTTCCAGTTACAGATGAGGATACAGTTAAGAGATATTTTGCCAAGTTTGAAGAAAAGTTTTTCCAAACCTGTGAAAAAGAACTTGCCAAAATCAACACATTTTATTCAGGTGAGTAGTCACAAAGAGAAGAAACATTCTGTGATGTCCTCAGACTTGTTCAGTGTCATTTGAAGTCACCATATGCTAGCTTATGCTGAAATAATGGGATTGTTTGGATGGGTTAAGGACATGTCTGACACCTTAGTATTTACAATTTATATAAGTTGGCTAGATTCCCTTACAGTTATAAAACCTTCAGAGTTATAAATTTGATTTTATCTTTTTATAAGTTTTTATTGCCACCTCAAGATTATTGCTTAGGCTAACTTTATGCCCTTTCATTGGCTAAAACATTATCTGCATCTCTTTGAGGTACTAGTCCCCAGAGTGTCATCTGCAAAGTGCTATTGGAGTTTGAGAAAAAAGTATAACTTCTATTTTTGTATGTGTAGCTTGTTTAAAGTTTATATTTTAATGTACTTTAAATAGAGATTAGTAAGGTAATGTCCTTATAATGGATTGCCTAGAACATTGCCTTAGGCATCACAAATCTTGTGGAGCCCAGTTGAGAATTAGATGGTTTTGTGTGTACAGAATCAAATCAGTGAGTTAGATTCAGAGATTTCATCCTGTATTCCCTCGTACATTGCTGAATTTACTCCTTCCTGCTTTGAATCACCTACTGGATGTAATGATCAATAATGAATTTCTTTCTTCTCTTGGCAAAGGCTTTGGAAATACCTTTTTTTTTTTTTTTTTTGATTTTTTGAGACAGGGTTTCTGTGTAGCCCTGGCTGTCCTGGAACTCACTCTGTAGACCAGGCTGGCCTCGAACTCAGAAATCCGCCTGCCTCTGCCTCCCATGTGCTGGGTTTAAAGGCGTGTGCCACCACTGCCCAGCGGAAATACCTTTTAAAGTCTTAGTACTGTCATACTCATTAACAAACAAACAAACAAACAAACAACAACAACAGAAACCCACACTAGTATGGGTTAGTCCAGGGATAACTGTTAACATGGCTTTATTAGTTTCTTTTTCAAAGGATGAGGTTTTTTCCTCCTAGCTTGTGTACAGTTTTTGGAAGCATCTTACTCAGATGTTCTCTCAGCAGCCCTCAGATGGGCCTGATTATTCTTTTTATGACACAGTGGGAGATTGGATAGAGAGGTTCCAAAACTCTAAAAGGCTAGACCCAGCATTCTTTTGGTGCCATTGTTTTTCAGCATGCGCACTGCTGTATCTTCTGCAAAATGGATCTTTGACCATCTAGCATCTTATGGAGTTTGCTGCTAAGCTCTTGGTCGCTCCCTGAAAATGGAGATATCCAGCTTCCCTTTATTTAAAGCCTTATCTCAACTTTCTGCATAACCCTGGTGACTTAAGTACTCATGTGGGCTCCACTCTACTTTGATGTATTTCTCTCTTGGCCATACTTGCCCAGAATTGTTCTCCTCCACATTAGTAAATCCCAGCGCAAGTTTCTGTGTTATGTCCCAGCATGTTTGAAAAAATGGATAGGTCTTCAAGAGAGAATTGTGTGGAAAGAATTGCAGTGTCCCGAGGACACATGTGATTTCCAGTTGGGAGCTAGAAGGTCAAGGAAGAACCCCTCACAAATTCAGGTTTAACTCTTTGTTCCTGAGTGGGGGTGCTGTCTTGAGAGGCTTCAGGAGGTGGGTCATGAACAGCAGAACAGGCCACTGGGAGTAGACTTTTGACGGTTAGCCTTAGCCCTTGGCTACTTTCTCCACTTCCTGTTCCGGGTGCTGTGGTCAGCCTTCACCTCACACTGCTCTGCCATTCTTCCCGCTGCTGGGCTCAGATTTGAATTCTTTTTTTTTTTTTTTTTTAAAGATTTGTTTATTTTACTTATGAGTACACTGTAGCTGTCTTCAGACACACCAGAAGAGGGCATCGAATCTCATTACGGATGGTTGTCAGCCACCATTTGGTTGTTGGGATTTGAACTCAGGACCTCTGGAAGTGCAGTCAGTGCTCTTAACCGATGAGCCATCTCTCCAGCCCCAGATTTGAATTCTTGAGTCAGAAGAAATCTTGCCTCCTGCTTCTGTCTGGTATTTTAGTTACCATGATACAGAAGTAAGAGCGTTGGAAAGAGTGTATCTACATTAAGAAAATGCTGTTAGGTAAGATCTAAGGATGTAAATGAAAAGGTATGTAAGGTCAGGTCTACTAACATTTTTCTTTTGCTGTGATGTTTTTAGAAGGGATCCCTGATCAAATCTAAATTGGTAGCTTGTATTACAACAGATAGTGTTTCTTAGTTTACAAAGAAAAATAAATATCTACTCTTAGCAATAGATAATTTTGAGTTATAGAAAAAATCTATATGACTAAGCATGCAAATATACAGACATTCTCCTTTTTTTGTTGTTAATTTTTTCTTCAAGACAAGGTTTCTCTATGTAGCCCTGACTGTCCTGGAACTTGCTCTGTAGACTCAGAGATATCCCTGCCTCTGGCAGGATTAAAGGCATGCAGCATGACACCCAGCTAGACCTTCATATTTTATGTGTACTTAAATGTACCTATGAGTGTGAATATACAAATGTTTAAATAATTTAAATGTTTTTTAATCAAACAATATTCTATCTGCTTTTAATCTATTATATAAGATAAGATATCACTGTGCTGTTCTGACTGGCCTAGAACTTGCTATTATTTAGACCAGGCTGGCCCTCAACTCACAAGATTGGACTAACTCTACCTTAGGAGTGTTGGAATTAAAGGCATGTACCACCACAGCCAACACAGATTGGCTTTGAACATCAGTCTTGACTCATATTAGGTTGCAAGATTCAGTTTAAAACGTGATATCTTTGAGTAGGTCAATTTTCAAAAGTTATTTTGGGTTAGCTATTATTAAAATTTTTTGGACGCTGTGGGTTAATGACTTATCTATGTGTATTGGCAGGGCCATTGGGATACAAATTGATAGTCACTGACTGAATTTTTGCCAGGTCAGGAAATGGTAACATGAAAACATGATTGGCAGAAATAGAATTTGGCAGTTGTTGGAGACAGTATCACTTTCCTCCCTATTTAGCTTCTTCCTGCACCGCAGATTGTCTTATAGACTGAAGTCCTCAGACACTCAAGCCAGAGAAACCATAAGTAACGCATGAGTTTTGATAAGAATTGAGAGGAGATCTCACTCTTTACTCAAGCTAGTCTCTGATGATCCGTCCTCCTGACAGGAGCTTTTCAGTGCTGGGCATAGAGGTGTGTGTGCCACCTATTTGAGCTTACCTTCATCCTCTTAGATCTCACCGATGACTTAATACCTAAAAATGGATCCAAACATTCCAATACCTCCCAATTTATATCTTTCTAATCATATCAAAAAGCTAAAAATAAATAAAATAATACAAGTGCTAATTCCATCAACTGATTATATTTTGAAATTTTTAACCTTAAGGTTTTTTTGTTTACTTTTAAAATTTTAAAAAATAATTTAACCTTCCTAAGCCAACATATACTTGCTTATAAAATAATCAAATTAATTCTCCTTGTTAAAAGTAAGAAGACATTTTCAGTTGAAAACCTGACATAAATTATTTTCTTATTTTTTACTGTATGCTTTTGTTTAATTTTAAAAGAAATTATTTATATTTATAGAGAAAGATTTTCACAATTGAAAGACCATGAGGAAAGAGGGGAGTTTTAAAAATGAGGGACCACAGTTTCCAAGATGAACATAAATGTGAATATCTTCAGTAAAATACTTGCAAGCCAAATTCACCAATACATTTAAAAGTTCATGCATGATCAAGTTAGTTTTGTTCCAGGAATGCAAGGATATTTCAGTAGTATATAAATAAAATCAAGAGCTCTAAATCACATGATCACCTCAATAAATGTAGAAAAATCCTTTGATAAAATTAAACATCCCTTCATTAAAAAAGCTCTGAATAAAACAAACTAGCAATAGAAGAATCATACCTCAGCACAATGAAGGTTGCACACAGCAGCCCTATACATAGCCAACATAATAAATAGGGACAAACTGAGAGCATTTTCTCTAAGTGAGAGGTAACCATCTCCCCTTGTCACTCTTATTCAATGTGGTGTTTGGAATCTTAGCCAGACCTTTAAGACAAGAAAAAGGAAAAAGTATGCAAAGAGAAACTGAAGAAAGTCAAATTGTCCATATTTGCAGATGATATAATCCTACACTGGAAAGACTTTAAAGACTCTACCAGAATTCTTGGTTTGATAAATGTAGCAAAGCAGCAAGATAAAAAAGGAAGCATTGAAAAAGTAGTAGCTATTCTGTAGCCAATAGTGAACTCACTAAAAAGAGGTTGGGAATACAGTCACATTCGGTTATGTCAAATCAGAAAGGGTGGAAGAGGAGAGGGTATAGTTGTGAGAACAGGACGGGCATAAGCTTACTGCACACACTAAAGCTCTGCAGTGAAACTCTGAACCCCTGAAGAAAGAACACGACGACATAGAAGCTCTCTTATGTTCATGAGCTAGCAGAAGTATTACTATTACTAGCAGATCATACTTGCCAAAGCAATCTTTACACCCAGTGCAATGCTATCAAGATTCTAATACCATTCTTCACAGAAATAGAAAAAGCAGCTGTAAAATTATCTGAAACACAAAAGACACCTGTAGCTGGAATTTTGGCTACATTGAGGGTTCCTTTTTCTTCCACTTTTCTCCACCTCTCTTCTTTCAACCCCCTAACACCAGGTAGGAGAGAAAGAAGCATAGAAGTGAGAGAAAAATCCCCAGATAACGTCAGGAGTAGGAAAGGGTGTTATGAAATTGTTAGACTACTTCCTGTTGATTGGGGGCATTGAGTTCCTTGAAGCAAGTTTGATCTTTACTGTCAAGATATCTAATTATTATTTCTTCTTCTTCTTCCTCCTCTTCCTCCTCCTTTCTCCTTCTCTTTCTCCTCCTCCTCTTCTTCATCTTCTTCCTCCTTTCTTTTTTTGTGCACACTTAATAAATCACAACCAAAAGTAGCATCCAACTACCAACCAGCCAACAACTCCCCAACTCTTGAGACGCTATAGCATTTTTGTACTCT